GGCCTGTGATATAGATGTGGTCATCTTCGGACTATGTCACATATCTTTGATGAAGGCTCACTGACTTAATTTGGCAGCAGGCTACTGGCTCTTCATTTGGCTGCTGCTGATTCAAAGGGCTGGATGCACTGTGCTTATGTTGAGAGCGATTCAGTTGATCACTCTGTGCCTCAGTTCCTCATTATAAAGTAAAAATAGCACTTCTTCCTCTCTCCAGCCCCTTATCTTTCATGCCCATTTAGGCTACAGCGCTGTAAGTGAATGCATACATTTGAGGTCAATTGGTCTCCTTTTAGGTGCAAGTGCAGACTTTCAATTTCTTGCCTCTTTTTGCCTATATTCTGAGGGTATTATGATACTTTAAAAAAAGAAAAAAATATGCAAAATATGCCTATGTCTTTCTGTCTGGTTATTTTCTGGAATATTTTGTTTCGTACACAAGTAGAGAAAATACATGAACTTGGAGATTTTATTTACATTTAGCTTATGAGTTGAAGGCAGTTAAAAATGTTGAAAGTAACCTTGTTACTTGCAAACTTCAATGAAATTGTCTTTAGTTCATTTGTACATTCTATTCTTATTCTAATCTATTCAGGTTCTTTTACCTCCCTCCTAGTCATGCTTGGCACTGTTAGCTTGTTTTTCCAACCCTACAAAAGTTTAAATTCCATGCACGGTGTATGTTCAGGCCCTTCCTTTAGGGCACAGTTTAGACTTAAAAAAACAAGTCAACAACAAGCCCTCACCAAGTAATACCGAAACAACCTATGCCCTGACCAGATTTGTTTGTAGGGACCCAGAGGCCTATCCTTGCATCTCTTACTACTCACAAACTCTTAAAGGGGTTTTCAGCAAACAGGGCTTCCTGATCCCTAGCCATCTGACCTTTAAAGCAGTAGATTGCCCTATTTTAGCCTGTTTAACACATTAATTCAACAGTGTGATGTCTTCTTTTCTTGCACTTAAATCTATTGTCCATCCCAGTTAAAATGTAAAGTAATGAAATACAGTCAGCAGGCACCTAAGTCATGAGAAATGAATTTGGCATTGCTAGCTAGAAGTGAGAAATAGAGTTAAATGGCAACAGTAGAAGGCAACTGAAAAACCAGCAAAGGAAATGTATAGAAAACACGTGATAGAAAAGGAAGAGTGAAAGGAAAGAAGGAAGTCAAAGATCTTTCTGTTTTCATCTTTCCTTTTTTTTCTGCTTTATTGGTTTTTTTCTTCCATTTTCTAATTCTGTGTTCCTATGTGACTCTATATGTATAAAATAATTAAGCCTCTAACTTACATTCATAAATACTCTTACTTGTGCATATACATGTGCTACAAAGTGATTAATTAGGTTCTCTATGTTGTCATCAAAGAATCTAGCACGGAGATTTCTCCAAAGTGTTATTTCACTAAAGATGATTAATTTTAATTATCTGATGACTGATAGGATTCAATTAATAGTTCAATGTGTTTTAATAATTTTTTAAAAATTCCTAATTAGGTTTTTTTGAACTGAAGTATACTGCAACTGTGATTGGACTTAATCCAAGTGATAGAATCATAGAAGATTAGGGTTGGAAGAGACTTCAGGAGGTCATCTAGTCCAATCCCTTGCTGAAACAGGACTAATTCCAACTAAATGATTCTAGCCAGAGCTTTATCAAGACTGGCCTTGAAAACCATTAAGGAAACTAGTTCCTTAGGCAATTCAGTCCAGTGTGTCACCAAGCTCCTAGAGAAGTAATTTTTCCTAATATTCAATCTAACTTCCCACACTGCAACTTCAGACCATTGCTGCTTGTTCTCTCATTTGCCAGCACTGAGAATAGCCTGACTCCATCATCTTTGGAACCCTTCCCCCTTCAGGTAGTTGAATGCTGCGATCAAATCCCCCCTGCCCAATTCTTTTCTTCTGCAGCTTAAATAAACCCAGTTTCCTCAGCCTTTCTTTGTAACTCATGTGTCCCATCTCCCTATTTATTTTTGTGGCACTCCACTGGACTCTCTCCTGTGTCCTCATCCTTTCTGCCGTGGCGTTAGAGGACAAAGTACTCCTGATATGGCCTCCCCAGTGTGGAATGATCACTTATGTCAGTCTGCTGACTGTGGGTCACAAGTCAACGGATTGTCCTACTCCATTCAGTGATGATAACTGTTTGGCTACATGTGTGTTCTTTCCATCTTTTGTGCTGGCACTGCATAGATAACCAGCACAGCAGACTCCGAGAGATTCTCCCAAGAACCACAGAATCAGATAAGATATGAAGGCTCCAAGCCAGGCCAGACAAAGCATTCCTATTAACCACTTGTTATTCTGCTTTTACTCCTGATGCTTCAGACAAAATTCATCACTTTCGTCAAAGCATTTTATCATGTGCCAGGCTTTAGTGTCCTTGTACTGTCTTGGTGGAATGTATTTACGTGTTCCATGTGTTTTAGCAGTTCAAGTAGAAATAGTGATGAGCTCATGTCCCAGACACTGACTTGCAGGCAAACATCTGTTTTTGACAGGGCCTGCTTGTTACTTATAGTTTAACTCTTATTTACTTTGGTTCAGGCTTTGGGCTTTACATCAGGCCCGTGCTTCAGGCTTTCTTTCTGTCTTTCTTTCACAATGCTCCTACTAATGCAGACCAATATGCCATTCGTCTTCTTGGAAACAAGGGCACACTAGTGACTCATAACCAGCTTCTCATCTCCCGTAATCCCCAGGTCCTTTTCTGTTCAAATGCTGCTTAGCCAGTGGGTCCCCAGCCTGTAGCAGTACAAGGGCATCCTAAGTGCTTGACTGTGTTCTAGTCCTTGTTGAACCTCATAAGATTTCTTTGACCCAAACCTCCAATCTGTTTAGGTCACTCTGGACCCAATCCCTACCCTCCAGCATATCTACCTCTCTTCCCAGTTTAGTGTCATCTGCAAATTTACTGAGGGTGCCAATCATCCCATCATCTAGATAATTAATGAAAATGTTAAACAAAACTGGCCCCAGATCTGATGCCTGGTGTATTCCACTTGATACTGGCTGCCAACTAGACATCAAACCATTGATCAGTACTCAATGAGCCCAATGATCTATCCAGCTTTTGGTTCCAGTTATAGCCTATTTATCCAAGCCATACTTCTTTAACTTGCTGGCAAACACTATGAGAGATTGCATCATAAACTTTGCTACAGTCAAGATATATTATCTCCTCCACTTTCCTCATAATCACAAAGATAGTTATCTCATCATAGAAGGCAATCTGGGTGCTCTGGCATGACTTGTCTTTGTTGAATCCATGTTGCCTGTTGCTGGTCTCCTTCTTCCTTAATGGTTTCCCTGAGGATCTGCTCCATGATTTTTTCAGGGACTGAGGTAAGGCTGCCTGTTCTGGGTTTTCCTGCTTCCCTTTTTAAAAAAAGGATATTACCTTTGCCTTTTTCCAGTTGACTGGGATCTCCCACAACCAATGGCTCTACAGTCAAATCAGCCAATTTTCTCAGCACCCTCAGATGGATTATATCCAGCCATATGGACTTGTACATGTTCAACTTTTCTAATTAGTCCTTAACATTCTCTTTCAATACTAAGTGTTACTCACCTCCTTCCCATACTGTGCTGCCCAATGTACCAATCTGGTAGCTGACCTTGTCTACAGAGATGGAGGCAAAAAAGAATTGAGTACTTCAGTTTTTTCGGCAACACTAGATTGACTTCCTCATTCAGTAAGGGTCCCACACTGACCTTTTTGTTATCCTTTACATACCTTCTTAGCTGCAACTCCAGTTGTGCATTGGCCTTCTTGTTGAAACCTCTGCATGCTCAAGCAGTATTTTAATATTCCTTCTTACTCATTTGTCCAGTTTTCTATTTCTTCTAAGTTTCCTTTTTGTGTTTAAGCTCATTGAAGATTTCTCTGTTAAGCCAAACAGGCCTGCTTCCATATTAGTTATTCTTTCTTCACATTGGGTGAGTTTGTTCCTGCGCCCTCAATAAGGCTTCTTTAAACTACAGCCAGCTCTCCTGAACTCCTTCCCCCCCCCATATTAGCCTCCCATTGGGATTGTACCCATCAGTTCTGTGAGGAACTCTGAACTACATGTTCTTGTTCCTATGTGAAATTCTTCAAAAGTTAATTTCTGAGTTTCAACTTTATCTTGGGCATTCTTGAAACTTTTTACATTGCCTGTAATAGCAGTTCTGTTCCTTTGACCTTTCAAGGCTGACTGTTCCTCTAGATGAATTTACCTTCTAAAGCCCATTAACTGCTCATGAAATAGCCAATATGGGGTGATGTGTTTCCTCCCTTTTGGAATTGAATCAGGCCTGTTGATGGCAGGGAAGAAGGGAACAGGCCAACTGCCCTGGGGCCTGGTGATTCAAAAGGACTCCAGCAGTAGAGACTGGCATGCCAGGCCCTTTAAATCACTGTCAGAGCCGTGCATGGTACTGTCCAGGCAGTGCTGAGGGACTGATGGGAGGAGGCTAGTCCCAGCCCCGGCCCTTCTGTCTGAGGCCCTCCCCTTTTGGGAATGTGGAGCTGGCCACCTAAGTTGAATGAAAGTCCTTACTGACCTCTGCATGAAAGTCCAAATCTACTCTTAGATGATAGTTTAAAATGTGCTGTTACTCTTAAGCTATTTTTTGGCCACGATGCTTCAATTTCTATTGGAAAAGACTGAGGAAGGCTAAAGGGGTTTCCACAGTTTTATAATTCAGAGCTAAATATTTATTCTTTATCCATTTAAAATATTGAAAAGGGTAACATAATTGTTTATATTCTTTTTTCCAGGATTTATGCAAGTCCTGTGTGGTTGAAATAGATGTAACACTGGACTAGGGGAATGAACAGATATTTTACATCTCTAACTTTGTATTTACTTTTACATTGTTTGAATGATTAATTATTTTTTTCCTCTTCAGTTGTGTTTTTTTCCTGGAGACATAGACCCGCCACTATTTTTATATCTAAAACTAGTGCAATACTTAGAACATCTTTTACTTTATTTTGCTTTAATTCTTTTAGCAGACAGATGATGCAGCACAGACTGACGGCCAGCAACAGACACAATCCTCTGAAAATACAGAAAACAAATCACAGCCGAAACGGCTGCATGTCTCAAATATACCCTTCAGATTTCGAGATCCGGATCTGAGACAAATGTTTGGAGTGAGTACTCTAGTTTTGTTCGAATGCTTATTATTGTCATATTTTAGAAGGGATGTTATCTTTACATTACAGAGGAACTGGTAGCAGTACCTAAAATTAAGATTACTTAATGCTTTCTGTTGTAAGACCATTTTCCCATTACTTATAACTGATTTATTTGCTTATATATATATATGTGTGCTACAGAGCTATAACCTAATGGCAGATCTCCAGAATATTGTTTTTTTGTACTCAACAAAAACAAGTAATTAGTAATGGCTTAAGTTATTACACATTTACATACTCCCTGCCCTATGAAATCTTCTGTTCACCTTGAATCCACATCTGTGGTTGTGGATCTTTAAAAGCATTACAGTAAAAACAGGCATTACTTGGCTTGGCTTAGTGATAGAAATGTAGCCATGTTAGTCTGGGGTAGTTGAAGCAAAATGCAGGACAATGTAGCACTTTAAAGACTAACAAGATGGTTTATTAGATGATGAGCTTTCGTGGGCCAGACCCACTTCCTCAGATCAAGTGGGTCTGGCCCACGAAAGCTCATCATCTAATAAACCATCTTGTTAGTCTTTAAAGTGCTACATTGTCCTGCATTTTGCTTGGCTTGGCTTAACTGTATTTAACCTTCCTTCTCAAGGCCAGATGATATTCCAGTACTAGATTTCGGGGGGAGGGGAGGGTGGGAGTGGGTTGCACCTATTTATATTATCTTAATAAACATAAATAACACACAGAAACCCTTATGTTGGAACAGCATACAGTATTCAATTTTTAACCCTGCAGTAACTGTATGTAAGTATGAATATATAATTGTGCTACATAGGGTCTCAGGGGAACCAGCCAGTCCCCAAAGCTGATGGTTATTCCAGTATTTATAGTCAATAAGCCAGCACAAAACAGCTTCTGCATTATATTAGTGGTCAATAAAAAGTCCACATCACTAAGTTCTCTTGAAATACCCAGCCTCAAGCCACCACTCAGACACCCGGCCTAGTCACATAAAGTTCTACACACTCTTGTAGCCAATTCTTCTTAAAATGTATTAAAAGAAAAAATGGAGCATTGTTTGGACCTCCCTCCTCCCTGGTCCGGCACCCTTGGAACTCAAACCAGGGAATTTGCAAGATCAGGGGAGGTCACGCCCCAGCTCTCTGATCTTCAGCACTGCCAACTCCAGGCCCCACTACTCCCAGCCCAGGCCAGGCCAGGCTGTCTGCTGAGTTGCTGTCCCTACCTGCCGCCATGCCTGCAGGCTTTGGCCCTACACAGCTGCACGCTCCAGCTCCGGTCCCACGCTGTCATTGGTCTGACTCTGGCCCTGCCACCGCAGGCTGCCAGGGACTGCTGCCAGCTCCAGCCCTGGTCCCACTACTGTAGACTGCCTGGGACCTGGTTCTGGTTCTGGTTCCTGTGCCATAGGCTGCCAGGGACTGTTCCAGCCCCAGTTCCATTGCCATTGGCTGCCGGGGACTGCTCAGGACTTGGAGTCTGGCCCCAGCCCCATGGAAGTCTGCAGGCTCTGGCTCTGACCCTGGCCCCGGCCCCACACTTGCCACGGGCTGTCACCAACTCTGGCCCCAGTCCTGCTGCTATGGGCTGCCACATGCTGCCAAGAGCTTGGGTTCCTGCCCTATGACAGCCTGCAGCTGCTGATCTTGCTTCCGCAGGTTGCCCAGGGCTCTGACCCCGGCCCAGTGCTGCCATGGGCTGTCTCTGGCCTGGTCCTGCATTGCCAGGAGCTGCCCTGGACAGGTCCCAGTGCTGCAGGCTTCCAGGGATTGCTGTCCACTCCAGCCCCATTGCTGCTGTGGGCTGCCATGGGCTTCAGCCTGCTCTGCTCCTGAATTGCCCTCCTGTGCTATATTACTGGGGCTCTCTGATCCAGGAACATCCATGGATGTTGCCAGGCCAGTAAATGCCAGTTTTGGGGTGCAGCCTTTATATATATATAGACATGCGTTCAGTTCTTGAGGTTCACTTTCATAAAACAGATGATCTTGTAGTTGCAAAACGTACTTTTAGAATTTAGTCCATGGTTATAGTCCAAAATCCGTATCTGGGATGACTTCAGCCAACGACTAGGACATCAGTCCTTGGGGCTCAGGTTTCTCCTGTATAAAATCTCAATTAGATCTGAGACTCTAAGTCACTGTTCATTAAAGGGGTTCCAGGATATCCTGGAATATCATTTCTTATGGCTTGCAGCTTCCCCTGGAGCATCCAAACAGGATCAGGGCCCGAGAGCCTTTATACATTTGCAGCAGGACACTTTTGACCTTGGAGAAAACATTAGTCATTTGATGTAACCTTCTGTTTCCCAGACATCATGGTAATTAACATGAGGTAATTTATCCATTAAGCTGTTTACCACACACTCTAAAGAAACATGTAAACAACTTCTTCAATCAAGTTTCATCATAAAAGTTCCTATTCCCTTCTGATCTTGAATCAGAGCTGTAGTAACAGACAAAAATTGTTCACATCACAAGAGCTCAGCAAACACCTACCATTCTAATGCTCTAACAATGCAAGTTTGCATTTCAAATGTCTACTCCAACATAAAGTAACAGCCCATTTCTCATTTACACGTCCTCCCAACAAATCTTGAAAGGTCTATCCTGTGTCCCTTTTCTTACCATATGCCACATTTTAATCAAGGCACAAAGTATCAAGTTATTCAAGGCACAAGTACTCAAGACTAATAATCATTATAATATATAATGAATTTATCTTCTAATTGCTTGTTGTTGTTGTTTGGATTAGAAGAAATATCCACTTAAATATATACAAGGAGTTGAAACCTGTCATGATAATGGGGAAAGAGATATTTTCTTATAAACATATCTAAATTGCCCTAGCAACTCTCCCTCCTCTTCTCCACCAAATACAAATATATTTCAGAACTCAAAATGCTAAAGCATCTGAGGATCTGTGAGAACTAACCTGAATAAATATATGTTAATCAGTTAAAATTAAATTGAAAGAAAATGACTCTGGAAAAAAAAAGTGGATTCTATTTCTAAATGCATAAAATACAGGGCTGTTTTGTGGGTGTTAAAATTCTCCTGTCAACAAACTAAATTTAATTTGTTTTTTTGCTACCAAGTTTTTAGGCTGCAGAAAACTCAAATAAATCTTACTTTCAAATTGGAAGCTGGCAGGAATTCCCCAGGTTCAGTATGACTTGATGACAGAAACACAATTGAAGCTATAAGCCTCCCACTCATAAGCTGAGACATACAGATTCCTAACCCCCCCCCCCCCCCCCAGCAAAATCAGTTTTTCATTGTTAAACCAACTTGGGCAATGTAGAGAAATCTGAGCTTCCTTAACTGTTGGGAAATTCAAATTTCCATAATTGGGAATTCTACAGAAGTTTCTGAAATGAAGCCTGATATTGAAACATTTTTTTTTTTTGCATCTTGGTTCTGTTATAAAAATGATTTAAGAACATAAGGGGCATGAGCAGAGGAGAGCAGGCTTGTTTACTAGTTGTCTTTTTCTAAACTCCCTAGCTTTATGTATACACCAATCGTAGTTTCATCATTAGAGAATCGTCTGTTTATAACCTCATAATACCAGTTGTCACATTAAGGCAACGGATAACATGTGTGTGCTGCTTTTCCTAAAAAGTCAGGGTTTTTTTGTCATGGAGTAAAGTTTAATTTCTGGAGAATCTCATACAGTCACTAGGTTATTCTTCCTCTGACTGGATTATTTTGTCTTTCCATTGTAGTATATTGTTTATGTCACTTACATTGCCTCACCAGAGTTACACTGCTTCACTGACATGATAGTGACACATGAAATAGCAGAACATGACACACTGAGTGATGTATTGGAAAGTGTCATATTATAAAATGCTCTGACTTATCCATACTAAATACTGCCCAGGGTTAGCATTTATTCCCTTGACCAATAGTGAAACCTTTTTTTTCTGTGGGACAGGACCAGTGCATTTTTTTGCATGTTTGAACAGGACCCACAGCTATGATAAAACCAATAATAATAGTAATTATTATAGGATGTGTAGAGTTTATTCCCAAGCACAAGTAACTTTTCTCCTCGGTAAAGTTTCAGTTAGGTAGGACAAGGGAAAACAAAACACCGCAGTGGTAGAAATGTCTTTTTATCTTCTTTGGGGAAAGCTATGATGTGTTATTTTAGAAGATAAGGGGGAAATTCTGGCTTTACGCATCCCTGTTTTATTTTTAATAAAGCAAGGATTTTACTCTGTGTCTTTACTCACAGCCAGAAGTAGCTGTAGCAAATATCTCCTTGTTCCTCTTCATTCCATTGGGAGCAACTGAAGCAAAGCCAACAGGCTAATGCTCCTTTGAGAATGAGGGGGAGATGATAAGCACATTTTCCTTTCTGCTCCCTCCCTTCTGTTCTATCCTTTTCCCCTGACAGGAGCCCCCTCCTGTGGCTGGGAGCAGCAGGGCAAGGCCCCAGCCCTGGTGAGCCCAACCCAGCACCCACAGCTCCTGGGCAGTGTGTCCACACCACACCACATCCAGGTGCCAGCCTCAGTGCTTGGGTGGCTTGCCAGTGCAGTCACCATGTGCAGGAGAAGCCCTAGGGATCCGGTAGCCAGGCAGTGTAGTGCCTGTGCTTTCAGCCCTGAATTTCTCCTTCCCAGCCCCGAGTTCTTCCCAACCCCCTCGCCTGAGCACCCATGCCCTATAGCCTCCTGCCCTGAGCCCCTCACACTCTCTCCAGTCGCCTGTCCTGAGTTCTCTCTCTCTCTCTCTCTCTCTCTCTCTCTCTCACACACACACACATCCTTGCCCTGAGCCCCCATTCTGCTTCCCACACTTAAACTAATAATAGATACTGTTGTACCACAGCCCTCCCACCCCCATGTCCTTAGCCCCCCATCGAGGGGGGTTGCAGTACCTGTAAGAAATTCAAGTTACTTTGAGAAACAAAATGGATGAAGTAACACCAGTTATCGGACCAACCTCTTTTTCTGAGAGAAACTAGCTTTTGTGCTTCTTCAGAGCACCTGAACAAGAGCTTTGTGTGGCTCAAAAACATGTCTCTCTCACCAACAGAAGATGGTCCAATAAAAGATATTACCTCTCCTACCTTTTCTCTTTAATGTTACTGTAATTGAGTTTAACTATAACGCGGTTCACTGTCAGCAGGTGCTGATATATTTTAATTGCTCTTATTGATTATGCAGCATTGTAGTGGTACAGTTTTAGCTGTGTATCAGATTAATCACAACATGTATTTGTTTCAGCTACTCTCCAATTTGCCATTTTTTATTGTATAATTGACCATACTGAATCTTCTATATATTATGACATATCTTTGCTACATCTCTGTAAAGATGTTTTCAAATTTTCTTATGTTCATATGACTTTTCTATTTCTTTTCAGCAATTTGGTAAAATCTTAGATGTTGAAATTATTTTTAATGAGCGAGGCTCAAAGGTAAGCAGTTTAATTCACCAGAAGAATCAGTTAATTGATTTTTAGTATTTGATAAGATTAAGAGAAAACAACTGCACTGGTGTAATAAATGTATCTTAAAAATCCATTTGAATGAAAGCACTCTTTGTTGCCTTTTGTCAATTTTCCAAAGAGCATGAAATTCAATGGACTCATATAAAATCCTTTAAAAAGAAAAATTCTAAGTATTATAAACTGTTGACAGTTCAATGAGAAATTTGCTTGCTGCTTTTAAATATAATAATATATTGTTTGGGCTGATTCTTTATTTTCAGTGATAATTACCTTGCTCATTTTCCAAAATGAGTCATGTTTGCAGAAAAATAAGCAGATCATTTGCTAGAATAGGTATTTTCTGCTATTGAAATGAAAGTTGCTAATATAATCTAATATCCTCTTGAGTAATTACTCAATAAAATATGTCATTTTTCCAGATTATTGAAGTGCAGATGTTTTCCTGGTTAGTTAAATACTTCAATGCACCAACCCTTTGAATACAATCTATTTTAGCATTTCTACTCATAAAGACATTGTACTCTATTGTACATTTATTTTAGTTGTCCTGAAAGTTACTTTGCTTTAAATTTATAGCCTGATTTATTAGGTATTTAAAAAATAAAAAAGTAAAATGTTATGCTTAGGTAGTTTACATGAAGTGGTGCAAAACAGCAGTCATTTTCCCAGTAAATCTTACCTGTATCAGTTGCACTATAATTTTCTATGCATACGTCATATGCATGGTAACTCTCCTTTCCGAATCATTCTAATCTTTGTCCTTCTATATATCAGACTTGTAATAATCCTTCTTCTCCCATGAATCAGTTTTAATGACGGAAGCCTTTTCAGCTTCCAGTATGTCAGATACATTATAATTCTCTCTTTTATCAGATATGCTATAATGCTTCTGATAATCCTTCTCCCTACAATGTGAGCATTTTTCAGTTCTAAATTTGAAATGATCCCCCTTTCCTCTGTATAAAATGATAGTCATCATAAGCTTCATACTTCAAAACTTTTTTCAGTTGCTTTATCATGCATAAATTGACATTCCCCAAACCTAGTTAGAATATTTTGTAAAAAGATGGGGAAGTGTATAACTCAAAAGATTGATGATTTTAAGGCAAAACAGGAATTTTAACTTGCATTTAATTTTAAAACTAAATTTTAACTTTAGGTTGCCACTTCAAATGGGCTCAGTTTGGTAGTGCCTAAACTCTGTTATCCTTATCTGATGGTTGCTCGGTAGTCTTTGTGAAAGAAACTAGTTAGCTAAGACTTGTTCCTAGTAGATAGATTTAAAACATCACAATAGGCAAGTTGGGTGATTACTTGAGCAAGTTCAAGGCATGAATGGGTAATGGTCAGTCTATTTACCTTCTCACCATAAATGTTTTAATACCTTGGAGTTTTTTCCAATATCTGCACTAGTGCATAACCTTGTTGGATGGATGCTTCACCAGCTCAAGTCAGCAGCATGTCTACATCAGGGGTTAGCAGCCTGCAAACCTCCCACTCACCTACAGTATAAAGAAGCTCTTAGAGAGGGTCTCACAAGACTCATTTTCCTCAGCACCCTCCCCAGCAGTGATTAAAAGAATATAAAAGGTGCCAGTAATGCTGTTAAGAAGCACAATCATATCACCTTTTGTATGTAGTCAGAAATTGAGCTTGAGTATTTCTGTACGCTACAAACTGCAACTTTCATGAAACAATTCAGATCCAGAAAACATGAGTGTTAATGCAACACTGCTCTGAGAAGGCAAGCTGAGGGAACTCACAGGTATCCCACTCTAATCCTGTGAGGGCAATTTAGTTTATATCAGTTAGAACCAGACTCATTGTAATATTGCTGTGGCATTTTAATCTTGAACATGCTTCCCTAGCAAATCTGTAGAGGCCCTGAGTTGCGGTAGCTTGTCCATAGCTGATGAATATAGGTTTTTGTCCTTTAGGCATGATTGCAGAACTGCTGATTTTTATGCTTTTGCTCTAGAGATGTAAAAGAACTTTAAAGACAATGAACACCATTTTTTTACTCTTGACAATTATGGTTTTTTACATTTAAAAACATGTATGTGCTCATTTATGCAGAATCTAAGTGAGGTTATTTAGCCCTTAAAAAAAAGCCCCCTACCCTCTCCTCAATCAAAACCGAGACTATCCATTGCCATTTATAACTTAATGGACAAGTAAAGGTTTCTGGTTGTTTTTTTTCATGTCCTTTAATATATTTGAGCACTTGACAATTCACAATGTGTGTAGTATAGCAATGAATATATGTTTACTTAATGAATCAGAGTTGCTGTTATGTTGAATATGGAGTGTACATAAATATGTAAAAGTATGGACATGATGGATAAAAGTTATTTTCCAATAAAGTTTCTATAAATTAAAATATGAGTGTAAGAATTTATATAAAGGCTTTGTTTAAATAATATGAAAACCCAAGACAAAATAAATGTAAGAAATTCAAAATTGCAGCTGCCATACATTCCTAAATGTTTGGATTTTTTGTCTTATAGCTCCATCTTAATATTAACTAAAGGTGCTTTCTTCTTTCTGATGTTTCTTTTATTTTGGGTGTTTCTTTTATTCTCAGTGTTTAAAATAATCTAGAATGCACAGTGGTGCTAATGAGCAAACGGGCTTACTCAAGAGAGTGTTTTTAGAATTCCAGTTCCTGATTAACAGCTCATGAACTCATACCAAATTTTCAGTTCAGAAAAGAGAGTTGGTTATTGTGCTGAGAGGAGACAGACAATATTGGAGCAATTTGCACTATTATGTTTACCAGTGGATCAATGGATCAGTGATAAGGTTCTGCTAAGGAATTCTCTCAGAGGCACTTGAGTTTGTTTCCAAAGCTATTACAACATGGGAAGTTTGATGGGGTGGGCAAATAGCACTTGAAAGTAACCGCTATGTTGTTTCAGAATTAATTAGAGGAGGATGGAAAATTAAACCCATACATTACTGCTGTACACACACATGCATGCATACACTTCCCTAGATAATGCAAAAGCATAGATAAATCTATGGCTTGACTAGCTAAAAAGAATAACAACCTACACTTTTAAAAGTAATTCCTAATAATTTATTAATGTTTGTTTTCATACACTAATTCACGTTTTTGGCTTCATGTATATGATATTCTGAATGGTTTTTGTGTGTTCTTGTTTAGATGGAAGGTTTTTTTTCATGTTGAATGTATGAGCTTCCTCTCCCCACAAAGAAATGCTAATGTTCTGCTCCTCCCTTTTCCCAGTCCCTACACCCTTTTTGCTAAGACAGGGTAAGTGATAATAAGTTAGAGTACAGGCAGTCCCCGGGGTACGTACAAGATAGGGACTGTAGGTTTGTTCTTAAGTTGAATTTGTATGTAAGTCGGAACTGGTACATATTGTAGGGGAAACTCTAGCCAAACATTTCTCTAGAGCACAGTTTTATTCTCCCACACCTCACTTCCCTCAGTCCTTTATTCTCAAGCTGAGGTGTCTACTGAGAAAAACCGCTCCGCGTCTTCCTGGTCTGCTGGGGGGTGGCACTAGCTTCGCGTCTCCCTTGTCTGCTGGGGGGAAGCAGCTAGTGCGGGGTTGCCTCACCCCGTTTGTAAGTAGGGATCCGATGTAAGTCGGATCCATGTAACCCGGGGACTGCCTGTACTGAGAAGAAGTTATTGGGTTGGGTGAACATTGACTGCAAACTTTAACAATGGACTAGACCAGGTGGAGAAGAGGAGGGTGACTAAGACATGAATAGAAGCAATGTTGCTAATAGGGATGTTAAAAATTATGGATCAGAGTAACCGTATAATTGCTAAGCTTTATACTGCAGAGCCCATAGCGAAGCCTCCCCAGAGCAGGGCTGCCAGCCCCTGCCAGCCCTGCTTCTGGGGAGGTGGCTTCGCTGCCACAGGAAAGCCTCCTCCCCACGAGTGGACCAGGCAGCCCTTGCCTGCTTGGCTCTCAGGGAGGTAGCTTTGCTTCTCTGCCACAGGAAAGCCACCTTCCTGGGTGCTGGTGAGTGTAACCAAGACCATTAACTGATAAGCATCAGCTTGTTGGTTAAGCAGTTATTCCATTATATTTTAACAACCCTAATTGTTACAGAGACTCCATATTTCCTTGGGAAATAATGTTACCATGTTTGAGAAAGTAGTGGCAGCTTGAGTTAGCAGAATTATAGATACCTATTTTCATATCGAGATTGGTTTGTCATAATAAAGTTTGTCCTTCGGGTTTGTGTCATGCTCATTAACACCGTGGTGGGAAAGAGGTGTATGGAGGTATAATGTCTTTGCCAAGTCATCACAACTATGGTGCTATCATTGGGCTGCTATGGTGGCATAGTGTAGACCAGTGTTTCTTAAACTTTTTAAGACCAAGGAACACCAAACACCCCTTTTTTTTATGAGGAACACCAAGGATTTTTGGCTTGGCGGGGGGAGGAAGGTCGGGGGAAATGGATCAGGGACAAAGTTATTGAGCAAAAAGGGTTGGGGGAAAGTTATTGAGGGAAAAAAAAGGTCACCTGTCTCATTAAGGGTGGCCATTTTGAATTCTGTTGTTCTCCGCGGCACACCTCCGACTGCCTCGCGGCACACCAGTGTACTGCAGAACACAGTTTAAGAAACACTGGTGTAAACATTTCTTACACCAATAGAATGTTTTTTCTTGTTGTTGTATTTAATCCATCTCTTCAAAACGTGTTAGCTTTTACAGTTAGGTTGTTGCCTTTACAGTAAGTGTTAGGTTGACCTTTATCACACCTGAGCCCTGGTTTTCACTAGGGCTTTATGTTGAAATAATCCCCCTAAAGTCAAATTTATAAGTGGAGCGGCCACACTACCAAGCCCGTTATTTCAAAATAACGGTTCATTTAATTCGAAATCTGTACTCCAGCTTTTCATCAGGAGTAATGCTAATTCCAAAACAGTTATTTTGAAATAGTGGTAGTGTAGACACTCCGGTCCCACTATTTTGAAATAACTACTTCCCAGAGTAATTCAAACCAATTACTCCCTAATGCTTCCTAGGACTCTAAGTTGAGGTAGCGCATCCATATTTATGGATCCTGCCTCTGACTAATTTCAAGGCTTCCCTTTAGTGTGGATATGCTAGTTCTATTTTGTTAAATAAGCAGTTAAGTTGAATTTACTAATTTTGCAATAGTTTCTTAGTGTAGATGTGGCCTGAGTAACATATTTAGATTGGTCTAATTTTTAAATATAGATCAGGCCTAAGAAAGATGAGCACTATGCAAGAAAAGTTATGCAGAGAATAAGTTTGTGAGTAAGGATGAAAGTGGTCCTGAATACTGTGTATAGCTGTATTCAGGACTTTTATGTCCAGGAGAAGAATTTGGAATGGGAAAACTATCCTTAACAGTGGTTCATGTATGTTTTGCACATGCTTGTTCATTTAAAACACTGAGCATGATTAATGTTTTTCTGCTGGGATAATTGGCCCTAAATTATTGGGGGTAACATGCAAAAGCATAGCATTGGCAATATTTGAATTGTTTCAAAGGGTTGGAGTACATTTCTGATCGTGATATGTAAATGTTTTGTTTTTAAATACTGATACGTTGTGTTTAAAGTTATGTTAGCAACAATGTGATTGTTAGATGAAGAATTTTAATTTTAAGTTTAAAATCATATGTATGTACTATAGCATAATGATAAGAAAAAGAATGCTAGTGAGATTGGAAATCTTTGTTTAGTCTAATGTAAGAATGTTAAGTGCTTAGAATAATTAAATAACTAATATGTTTTAAGTATTTAGTGGTTAGTTTTTTCATGAGATATGTCAAAGTTGTATAACCCTGTCCCACTAACATGGGAGAAGGGAGAGTAAACAGTCTGTTGTGCATGTATTGTATGTAAAAAATAATACAAATATGAAGCAGTTGAACTTACTCAAAATGTTTACATTTCTATTACTTTATCAAAGTTTCTTTCTATTCATATCATGTGATTTTGTTTGATCTTTTGAAAACCAGAAAGTTTATGCTTAGTTATAAAAGTACCACTTTTTTTGGTGGTTTTCTTTTCTTTTCTTTTTTCTTTTCCTTTTTTTCCTTTGGTTTTTGTTTTTATAAAAAAATAAGTAAAGGCTATACAGTTTGACAAAAGTTTAAATAACCCTAGTGTTGCATGGGAAAAATGTTTCTTACAATCACAACAGCATGATTAAGTAGGCAATGTTTTAGAGTATATTGGCATTCAGTGTTGAATTTTGTGCACATGTTTTTTTTATTTTGTTGAGACTATCTGCATGTTGTTAAAAAGTGGTTGACTTTCTTTTCCCATTATTTCATTTTTTCTATGTGAAGACACTGTAAATTTCAGTTTGATTTCATTTTTTGTTAGATTTATTTTCCTTTGTAGTGACATTGAGAAAGGTATCTTTGGTATCATTCTTTGAATTCTTCAGGGGGTATTATCTAACTGATGAAAGAGGAAAAAAACTTGTTCACATTTGTCGCTTATTTATTGCACATCTCAGAATGATTATAATTTCTCTAATTTGCATGTTACAGAAATGAAGCAAGAACAAGAAAATATTAAATTAAAGCAAGAGAACATAAGCAAACAAGTGGTCATTGACTGAAATAATAATGTGCATGTTGTTTTCCCCCTTCTCCCTCCTGCATGCAGGGATTTGGTTTCGTAACTTTCGAAAATAGTGCTGATGCGGACAGGGCGAGGGAGAAATTACACGGCACCGTGGTAGAGGGCCGTAAAATCGAGGTGCATGTTCAAAATATTTTCCTTTTCATCTTTTTTATAAATGTCTGCTTCACTCTCATTTGTTGTTTCAGATGCATCATTGGTGTCTTTTGTGTGCTCCCCTTCCCTCTTCCCATTGTTTATATATATATATATATATTTATATATAAAGAAATAATCTGGCCTTACTTGGGTTTTTTTATTATTTTTTTTGTGATTATTATTATTATTATTCTCATTATTGCTCTTAGGTGGATGACAGAAATGGGACAAAATTAAAGCTTTAATATTTTGAAGTTATTATTTTCTATGTTTTATAAATCAATGGGTGCAGTAAATTTTTAAAAAATCAAAAGAAATCAAAAACAAAAACAAAACTGTGTGACAGACAAAGCTCGTTTTTTTTTTCTTTTTGATGCTGGGTTGATGTGGGATCCACAGTGGCTTTTAAAATAACTCAGATTAGGAGGTTATAGCAGTCAAAAAATATAAAATGAGTAAAAAATAAAACAAAAGAACTACTAAATCAGAATGTTTGAAAATTTCATTTCAAAGTAACAACCAGGCTGGTTTTTCTGGTTGGCCTGAACCATCTATACCTATCAGAAAACAAACCCAAATGTTTTTGGTACCACTGGGTCCCCTTCAACACTGCCTCAGAGTCATATTTGTTAGAATAAAAAAAAGAAAGAAAAGAAAAAAAGAGAAAAAATACCAATTGAAAATGCTGTCGTCTTTTGAGTAAGATGTTGCATATTTTGCCTTTTCATTTTCCCCCTTCGACGGTAGCGCTTAGGGCCCTCACCAAACTCTCAGTAACCATGGTAACTGTATACATACCCATGCTGGCGATGGTGCTGAATGGTAAGTGGAGAAGTCCATCTGCCGTTTCACGTATTTAGCGCTGATATACCACGTGAATTTTTTGACTTGTTGTATTAAGTTTTCTTGATGCTATATTTTTTTCTATATTGGTACGCCTGTAATTGAGTGTACGTTTTAAGCAAGCCTGGAAGGCACTGATTGGATTGAGGATATGACTTCGTGCACATCTTACTCAGATTGTTAATTCCATATTGTGTTAAATAATGCACCCTCTTTTTATCCTTTTGTTAGCTGTGATTTTAAAGCTTGAATGATTTTGTTAATTCTTGCAATGAAAAAGGCTCTTGTTCCAAGTGTTGAATGCTAGATGTTGCTTTTCCAATGGTACTTCTCTTCTAAAGGGTTATGTTGCACACTGCTAAAATTTGTTTGTCCCTTTTTTTGACATTTTATTTGTTTCCTCGTACCTTGTCTCTTCCCCCTCTACTCCACTGCATGTTCCTTCATATAAAAATATTTTTTCTGTTTTGAAATATTTATTGTTTCAGTGTTATCATGGAATACAAGCATGCTCTTAAATCTTAAATTATGCAGTACCTTTTTAATTTGCTTTTAATGTGTCTTTATTAAAGTTTAAATGATATGATGTTGCTTTATTGAAATGATTTGTAAGTTTAAATGGTTATGAAAGTAAATGTAATTATATATAGTATGATTTTGTTATGCACCTATTGCCTTTTATAAATTAAATTGCATTTTATTTTTATAAGACTAATCGCAGTAATAATGCATGCATTTAATAGTATCACAGACTGACTCTATAACATTTACTAATATAGTTTTTTATGTGCATAGGTAAATAACGCGACAGCACGTGTAATGACAAATAAAAAGACTGTCAACCCTTATACAAATGGTAAGTGCATAAGCTTTTGAGCCTTTCTTTTCAAGTCAAATGTCAGAGTGCATGCAAGTCCTGATGTTGCAAGGTGCTCCCGTGGCTACTTCTACACTACACCCCTCTGTCGGCAGAGGGATGTAAATTATACGTATCGAAAGTGCAAATGAAGACGGGATTTAAACATCATGCGCTTCACGTGCATTATGGCGGCCGCCTCTTTTTTCCAAAACGGGGCTTTTTGAAAAAAGACCCCAGCAGTTTAGACGGGGCATTTTCGACAGAATTCGGGTGGGGGGGTTCTGAAAAGCTCCATTTTGGAAAAAAGCCCCGTTTCATTTGCACTTTCGATATGTCTAATTTACATCCCTCTGCCAACAGAGGGGTGTAGTTTAGACGTAGCCTGTGAGTGGAACAGTATAAAGCCCTAATGATTTCTTGTGGCCTCTACAGGATTTCATGGTACCATCCACAGAGTTCATTGCAGGATTGAGGGCTATAGTTGGGCAAACAGATGCACTCAAATTGACTTCAGTGTGGGTTCTTAAAGGCACAGCATTCCATTGGCATGCAGTATGTTGCAAGATCAGAACCTGAATGATTAGCTGTGTTAGTATTATATAAACTGATGCTCCATATACCAGAGAATATATTTGCTAGGAAGAAATTTTTCTCTTCTGGCTTTGTGCAATGTGAATATAGCAAAAAATGAACTAATCGTGGGGACAATTTTGCTGATGGAGTTAAGGATGAAATTTTGAAGGATGTTCTTTTTGTCAACATGAGCTTCTATTTGATATTATCATAATACAGTTTACTTCAGGATTGTTGGTGTTCAACAATTTGTTGAGAAAAGACTGCAAATTATAATTGTTTTAATACAAGAAGCTAATCTCACCTAAAAATCATGTCCTTGCTGTTGATTAAACAAATGGGTACATTTTTGCAGACTAGTGATAGAAAAGTCATGAGCAGAAATGTTGGTGTGGTATTCTAGGAAGTGCTTTTTAAAGAGATTTCCCCATCCCTTTTTCAGTGATTAATTCATCAGGTTTGCCACACAAAAAAATTGTTTTCTGTGAGTTGTTTCAACGGATTAACACCTTTCAACTACAAAACTGGGTTTATCAACCATAATTATTTGTTCTGTTTGGGCTAGGGTACTTCTGCTATAGCCATTTTAAAGTAATATCTTTGTCCCTGTTCTAGCCATTAAAAATGCAAAAGAAATCTGAACATACATAATCAATAAAGGCAGGTTCCACAGCTGGCTGACACATTCTTCTGTGAAGAAACATAATGGAACTTATTTTTTTTGCATTTGAGAGCTCATTAGTGAGATTTTGTTAAAAAGTGGGGCAGAGAGAAGTGAGCTGTTTATTTCTTAGTGTCATACTTTTTCTCCCAGCACAATAAAAATAAAAGTGTTCTAAATTTGACATACAATTATCGAGCTATTTATAATCTTCCTCAAGTTCTTCCAGAAACTTTTCTTTCTTTGATGGAGTGTCTGTTTAAGTGATAAAAATGGAAAGTGTCCTTGATTGTTGCTTATTCGTATTTAAAATGTCATTTTAGTGAATCAAGCCAGACAGATACAAGGCTTGACTGGGTCATACAATAACATTTTGTTCTAAAAATCTTATTGAATATTTAATATACATGTGAACAATTCACTCTTTTGCTCAATGTTTTATGACAGAGACGGTAAAAGAAGATTTGTTATAAATGATTTTGTGCATATTTACATTCATTATACTACAAACAGTAAGAAACCAGGTTTTTTTCTATTAAGCGTCAAATATCAAATCCAACCTGAGGGATGATTATGCTTGAAGGAAAACTCAACCTTTATTATGAATGTCATCATGCATCTTAGGAACAAGTTTACTTCAGTGTCACACAGAATAGGTGTTACCTTGATTTTTAGCATTGTCATTTTTTTACATCTGAAATATAGAGTCATTAAATTGTGTTGATAAAAGCATTTCTCATATGCTTTAAAGCTTTCTTACAAGATACTTGTTTTGTGTTCTGCATTTTTAAACTTTTCTCATGATGTGAAAAATCAGCAGATAGGCGATCCCATACAACAATCTAGATTTATATTGCTTTTTTAAAATATCACATATGCATCTTTACATCCCTTTGCAAGCTGCTGGGACACCACTGTGCAAGACCTGTTACTGTGTGCCTTGATGTCACAATAAACATTCTGGGCTATAGCAATCACTATACAGTACTCATAGAAACAAAGTATAGACCTGATTTCCAGTGTCATACTTAGGGTTCCTTAAATAATATCCCCATTATCAAGCCTCCACAAACTCTATGATGATATTTGTCAATCATCTGCCTATTTATAGATACTGAATATTTATAGATATTCTCCATGACTGTAATAAAAGATACTGTATTGTTGAAGGTGCTGTGTCATCTTTCAAATGAGATGTAAAAATTAAAATATAAATATTATGGTGATGGGTTGCCTACCAAAGTGCCTCCTGGAACTGCGGTACCACTGAGCCCACCCAACCCACCAGCCTTACAAGCTTTCTTGCAGGCTCCAGCCTGCAATTTTACCAGCACACATACAGGCAGGGACACATCCAACTGTAGTACACCTCCCTCTGGAGTATAAACCTAAAATTATAGTATCTTGTGCTACACGAGGAACTGTACAGTGTAAGTTCATGAAATTCACCTCCTCCCTCAATGTGGAGAGAGCAAGTACAATAACAGCTTTCTGCCCCAAGTTCTGACCTGCCACAGACTAATTTTAGACAAAGCAAAAATAAGTTTATTAATTGCAAAACATAGATTTTTGGTGCAGCTAAAGGATATCAAGCAGATCAAAGAAGATTTTCTAGCAAATAAACAACAACACAATCTAAACTTAATATAAAGAGATTAGATATAACAAGCAGTTTTCCCTTAATGATCATACAAGCAGACCACATACTCTTAAGAGGAAAACTGCACTGTCTTACAGCTTAGAAACCCATTAGTTCCATTCACAGGCTAAAAATCCCTTTAGCCTGGGTCCAGCACTTCCCTCAGCTCAGTTGAGTCTTTGCAGGAATCTTTTTGGGTAGGTAATCAATGAAGAGCCACAAGATGTCAGTCAACTACTTTACACAGATTTTTCATAGGATAAGAACCCTTTGTTTCAAAGCTTGGTTTCGAACACCAATCAGTGGAATAATACTGGTATCCCCCGCTGGAGTCCAACACTGGGTGACCTGGTCACACGACTGTATAGCATTACAGCCGTGATAACTAGAACACTGTCTGTAGCATTCTCGGGAAGGCTTTCTGGTAGGAGATAAGCTTCCAGTGCTGTTAACTACTCCTCTTGCAGAGGTGGCTTACGCAGAGTGCTAGGAGAGCTCATGCCATGGCCACACTTTCAGCTGTGGCCGCGCTGTAAACTGTTAAGTATAGCTAAAGCCATAAACATGTTTGTAATACAGATGTATAGTCAGTGTTCCTAAATTCAGATAAAAAAAGACATGTTCACACAAATAGGATAATCACATTCTGCAAATCAAAACTTTTCAAATGAAATCTCACATGACCTATCTTGCATTAAAATACGTCAGAATTCTGCCATAATCATACCATATAAGAACATCACTGCGAATAATGTGGGGTGCAGTGTCACAATTAAATGATGTGTTCCTCTATATGAGAGTCAGCATTTGCAAGCTATGTGTGAGGCAAGTAACCTGGAATAATTTGTTTACATATGTAGAGATTCTTAAAAGTCCTTTTTGAACATATGGGGTTGTTTTTTTAAATATGTGTATATTTTAGTGGTAGGCATAACAAAGTCATGCCACACACAGTTTTGTCTTTTATGGACTTATATTAGATTTTTGGAGATTACATTGTTAAAAAATTATGATATACTATATTTTTGTGTGTGTCACGCAGACTTGTTACTAGTAGTTTGTTAGCAGAGATTATATACTGAATGTCATTGTCACACTCTGAGCCAACTGTAAAGCAGAACAACCTGGCGTTTAACAGATATGTACATGCAATTTGTTTTATGCAGCATTTCTTTTTTATGAGTTAGGAGTTCTTGGAAATAAAACCGTAGAAGATTCCCAAAATGGTTAATTAGTAAAGAAATCATAGTTGCTAACACAGCTGGCCAAGCACCTTTATGCTAGCAGATAGATTTTTGTTGTTGTTACTTAACCTTGTGCTTGTCATTTCTTTTGGAAATATAACTTCTTTTTTATTTTGAGTGAGATGTTTGTTAAGAACATGAATTGGACTAGCAAAGTGACTTTCAGACGTCTTTAGATTTTCTAGTTTGTTGTGCTCCACATTTAATCCAGGAAGGTTTGTCCTTCAGTCTAATGCTAATTTTATAATTTAAGGCTCTAGACTGAAACACATAGGCTTAAAGGGTACACAAACCTGTATAAATGGTGTTAGAGAAGGGGTTTCAGCTATGAATGAGGAACATGCAGCGCAAGTCAGGACAGGGACATAGAGAGGTGCTTCAAAATTCACCTTCGCATTGTCTTAATTTGGGGGCTTTTGCATCCTGATCTAGTACCTAAGAATCTGAAACTACAGTCAAAGATAAGCTCAGTGAAGGGGCAACCTTGCCACTCCACTTTCCTCCAGCAATGCCCAGTATGCAAAAAATCAAGAGGAAATGTGCTGTAAGAATTGCTATGCCAGTAGGGTGTCCTCTTACGTTGGGGTGATCTTGTCATGGATAGTTATGCCCAGTATGCAGCCAGAATCCACTGGCAACCTAATTCAAAGCAAACGCACCACACTATTGCATCTGGCCTTAAAAATGGAAAATATCCTTTGATGGTGTTATGTCCATCTTCCTACCAACACTGGATAGCTGCCCATAGTGCCTGATTGCTCCCTACAGTGCACTTAACTTATATTTCTTTCAAGGAATATATGGATTTAGTTTTTCACTGTTTCAGCTTTTAGTTTCAACATGAGCGGGAGATTAGTGCAGTGACAATAAGGCAAATGCATCAGATTATACCCACTCAGGAGAATTTGTCTCATCCAACTGCTAAACCATGATTTCTTGGCAGTTCCTTGCTCCTATCACTCTTGATTAACCCATACAGTTATGGACCAGTACATAGTTCATTGAAAAGACAAAGTAAAGTTTAATTGCTGTTATTTTCATGATGAATGAAGACATCCCTGTCTTAGCTTCAAAAGATTGGATGGTACAGCCACCAGAACGGGAGTGGGAAGGAAATGAAATATGAATGACTCTCAGCTGATGGCATCGATCTGCATCTCCTGGGATTTTTTTTCCTTTTGGACAAATTGGGTGGCTATTAGCGTTAGTTCATATCTGAAGCAATATGTGTCATCCTCATTGATAGCAGATACTGAAGGACCGGAAATGCACTCAGGGCACACATATTTTTGACTGCAATGATCTGGGAAAACTTGGTGAAACACAACATTCAAAATATCCATCGGTAGCACTTAAAACCTAGGTATTCATGAAAATTCCTAGAAAACTCCACAAGAAAAAAAGTCAGTAGTCACAGTGGCTCAACCAATTTCAACTTTAGATAATTACATTTTGGATAGTTAAGATATTGAAAGGTTATGTGTTATTGTTCTTCACTATTAGTTCTATCTTATTAGTGAATAGTTTTTATAGAAGAACGGCCATCGTTTCGGCTCTGACATTCGTGAGTGTTCTAAAAGACAGTTACAATGTCTCATGCCAAAGGTGGCTACATTTCAGGGATAGATGAAGGTGATTCTAATAAGTTCCAGTTCCAGGGTGAACAGCACCTGTTCTCTCTCTGTGGACACTTCTCTCAAGGGTACAGGCAGTTTGCATACATGTCTGTCAGAGTGGAAGCTTGTGTTTCAACCCACTTTGAAACTGGATCACTGAGCTACAACACTCCCTGTTTACCAACCATATTTATTTCCATCTGGCCCAACCATATCTATCTCCAGCAAGTCCAGCTGGATATTTTCTCTGCTAGGGAATCCTTTCCAGGAGCTGTTATCAGCTAGTATAAGCAGTGTTCAAAACAGTTATGAGTTTATGAGTTAAAAATAACCAAAGCCAAAATGTATAATGTCTTAGCCAAAGCTTAGCCTTTTCTTGATAGGTTAACACGAGCGTCTTCTTAATTCAGGCGCCATCCCTCCCCTCCCCCACTCAAGCACTGAGGCTGGAGGGGGGAGGGATAGCTCAGTGGTTTGAGCATTAGCCTACTAAACCCAGGGTTGTGAGTTCAATCTTTGCAGAGGCCATTTAGGGATTTGGGGCAAAAATTTGTCAGGGATTGGTACTTGGTCCTGCTGTGAAGGCAGGGAACTAGACTCAATGACCTTTTAAGGTCCCTTCCAGCTCTAGGAGATAGACAATCTCCATTATAACCAAGAAACCTGAATTCCCACATCATATATCAGCAACACTCCTGCCCAGAAATGAAAATAATGCAAATGCCTAGTTAATTCAAGTGATGCAGGATCATAGTTTTTAAGTTCAGCATTTTGGGATGGAAAGGTCTGATACAAATATGAAAGACCATACACTCTCAGCACACAGGCTTAGGTTTTCTTTCCTTTACCTGCTGCCTCTGGATAGCTGAGATCCAAGTCATCTCATGTCCCAAGTGAAACAGCTTTAGTGGACTAAGGCCATGGCTATACTTACCCATGGATCGACGCTCCAGAGGTCCATTTTCTGGCATTTGATTTAGCAGGTCTAAGAAGGACAAGCTAAATTGGATGCTCAGGGCATCCTGTCGACTCTGGTACTCCTACTCTTTGTGAGGAATAATGGCAGTCGACGGGAGCCTTTCTCCCATTGACATCCTACTGAGGGGATGGCATCAAAGTTCAAATTAAGATATGTTGAATCCAGGTATTTGGCTGGAGTTCAGCATCTTAATTTGAATTTATCCCCTGGCCTAAGAAGAAAGAAGCTTTCGGTGGCCATCGGTTAACTGGGGAGGGGATAAAAGTGTGTGGGGGAACCTTTCATGTAACTTGTCACATTTGTTTTAATAATTGCCAGTCTTTGCTAAGACAAAGCTTGAATTAGTTATGTTCTCATACTTCCAGATTGAAGTGCTGTAGAAAAGCTGTATGGGTAAAGTTACATGACTTCTGCCTACAATGGACTGTTTGCTGGCCTGAGCCTGCGTTTTATGAGCAATAGCATTGGGAAAATATAACCTCCACTTCAGAAAAAATATTTTATATAAGGCTCAGTTTTCACCATTTATATTTCATTATGACACAGCCAGACCACTGCATATTTAAAGATAAACAGTTTAATCATTTATTCAACATACAAATTCCATTAAAACTACAGTATCCTGAAGTAACAACATCATACTCTCATCCATAGAAAATTAATGTGTATTAATATTATTGCTAAATATAATATTAACTCAATCCTTTTCTGTTGCTGTTTTGTTTGATTTCTGTAGGCTGGAAATTAAATCCAGTTGTCGGTGCAGTTTATAGTCCAGAATTCTATGCAGGTAAGAGTACCATTGTACTTGTTAATTTAATCTTGCTTTGTTGATTAAAAAAACAAGATGTTGTTGTTGAAAGTGTCCAGATTGTTATAAGTTGATGTATTTTACATTGCTTACCAATCATTAACAGGTTTATAAGGAAGGTTTTTACCAATAACTGAGCAAATTAAAATATACCCTTATAATACATTCAAATATGACTTAATTGCTATTCCATAATCGATAATATAAATCTGTAAAATACACAATAGTATTTGTATTTTATGTACACTTTTATTTTACAAGTTTATATCATCAACACATTGACTTTTTCGTAAGGAGTGGTTCATACTAATATTTCCTTTGGCAGCAGCCCTACGGGTACTCGTGGTGCTGCCAGCCCTGCTGGTGCTTATGGCCCCACCGTGAGCTCTGCAGCCCCCTCTCTTCCTGGCCCCACCAGCTGTGGGCTCAGCGGACCCTCCTGTCCTGCAGATTCTGGCAGCCCTGCCAGCTTCCTGGAGCAGCTGGCTGCAAGCTCTGCTGTGCCACTGCCCTGCAGTCTCCGGTGCCCCCATTGGCTTCTCTGTCTGTGAGGTCTGGTGCCTCTTGTGCTCTCCTGCCCCACTGGCTACACTGGCCAGCTCTGCTTCCAGCTGCTGGCACCCTCTGGTGCTGGGATTTTCTAGTCCAGCAATATCAGTGGTCCAACAGGACAATGGATGTTGCTGGACCAGAGAGTCCCAAAGCACAGAAGTTCTGCCTGTACTTGTGGAATCCACCTTTTATCTATCGAATCTGCACTGTGGCCAAGTTCTGCCCTTGGGTACGTGGACTCAGATTTCATTGGAATCAGTGGGACTGTGTTGCATCCATCTGGATGCAGAATTGGGGCATAATCAGTAACGCCTAGAAAACATGCTGTGCTGGCATAACTTAAACTCTAGTTAAAGCCTGATTGAAAGCCCACTGAAGTTAGTTTGAGTCTCTTTGAAGCAGGCTCTCAGAGCACAGCTGACGGTTATTCTGAAGAGACTGTTGAAAGTAAGTAGTTGACATGCAAAAGGCAAACAGTCACCGTGACATTAAAAGATTCCATTTGGAACGGAAGTCACATGAGTCTAAATTATTGTAAGTAACTCTGTCCTCATCTTTCCATATGCCTGTTTTCACCTGCTTTTGTATGTATATGAGTATAGGTACTGGAACTGGAAGTGTGGGTGGTGCTGCAGAACCCACTGGAGTGACCTAAGGAATAGGGCACTCACTTGCAGAGCACAGTGTGGATAGCCAACACAAGCTGCTCCAGGGATGGACCAGGCTTAGTGGTTTCCATTATAAACAGGGTTTCAGTTTGGTTCAACAGCTCTCCCCACTATAAAAATTATCCCAACACCCCTGTTTGCGTATGTCTACACTACAACGTTAATTCGAACTAACTTAGTTTGAATTAGTTAATTCGAACTAAGCTAATTCGAACTAATGGATCCAGACTAAAAAACTAGTTCGAATTAGTGTTTTGCTAATTCGAATTAGCATGTCCACATTAAGTGGACCCTGAACCAGGCTTAAGGATGGCCGGAAGCAGTGCCGGCAGGGCATTAGAGGAGGACTTAGAGCGTGGAGATGCTGTCTCAGGCTAGCCGAGGGCTGTGCTTAAAGGGCCCCGACCCCCACCCTGGACAGACAGTTCTCAGGGGTGCCCCGCTTGCAAAGCAGTCCTGGCTTGGATTGCCCGGACTACCCACACTGGGCACATCACACCACTCAGACATCAGCCCGGCTGCACTTGCCGCAGGCTGCCATCTGGGGAGAGGGGGCAATTGGGGGGCTGCAGGAGAGCTTCCACACCCAGAAGCCCACAGAGCCAGCCCAGTCCTCCCCATCGGGGACTCGTGCCGCATTCCTCCCTCGCCTCCTTCCACTTACCCTTCCCTAGCCCCTCTTCTTGATGTACAAAATAAAGGACAATTGTGTTCAAAAATGGAATCTGTCTTTATTGAACAAAACTGGGGGAGACTGGGAAAAGGAGGTGGGAGAGGGGAAGAGAGAGGCTGGGAGAGGGGAGGGCAACTAAAATGATCAGGGGTTGGGAACAGGTCCCATATGAAGAGAGGCTAAAGAGACTGGGACTTTTCAGCTTAGA